GAGGAGTCGCCCCCTGGTGGTCACTAGAGAGAATGCAGCTTTAACACGTGAAGCATTGACTTCACTTTAAAGAACCGGAGGTTGCTGCCGGGTTACAAATAAAGTATGATAGCTGATTGACAGCAAGAAAAAACAACTGACGGCACCACAGTGGTCCTGGTCAACCTGCAAAACCTTTTTTTTAAATAATATTTTGCCCGCGACAACTACAGGAAACTTAAAGTCCAGAGCTAACACTGTCTGTTGGGTTTTGACTGAACAGAATCTGTGTTCATAAAACGTCGATCCACATCCACGAACTGCACACCGGAGCCACACTACTGTGTGCATGAGCCCTGAGTAGACCCTGCATTGATTTTATTAATCTTCGTGTTAACTCAGCCTCCAGGGTTTAATCGGCTAGAACCTGCACATTTTATACTCCCGCTGGACAGATCAACTGACCGACCACCATCTGTCGCATCCTTGGTGGTGACAAATAGAGGAGCTCCAGATGGAAGATGCAGATAAAAACCTGGTTGATTTGTTCTGCAGGGAAGTTGCAACAGTTTGAAGTTCAACCACAACATGTACGATACAAACAAGCTCACAAACAGCTATGAAATCAGAGTGTTGAACTTCTTAACTTTGAGACAGATGAACATTTCTGACAGAAACCCATACATTTGTAATCCATACTAAATGGTCATCTATATATCAATTACTGACCCCATGTTACCTTGAGATGTTGAAGAACACTTAGTTCCTCTCTCAGGCCTCGAAACAGAGAAAAAGTCTTCATGACTTTAAGTAAATGGGGGCCGAGATCATTTGCGTAAAAAAGTATCTTCTCTGCTTCTATTTCCTGACTTTTGAAGTTGAACGGTCTCCAAAGTTACGTTCATTGTCAGTCATTTGTGTGTTGAGACCATTTCCAGAAACCAATGTGGCGACGACCAAAAACCAAGGTTGTGATGGTCGAAAACCGAGCTGAAGACGGCCAGAAATCAAGATGGTGACGAACAAAGATAAATACAGCAACTGCCAAAAACAAAGATTGCCGTAGCCAAAAACCAAGATGGGAAAAGCAAAAAAACAAGGTGGGGACAGTCAAAGCCGAAGATGGCGACGGCCAAAAACAAAGATGGAGATAGTCAAAAATACATATACTCGAAGCTTCAAAACATCAGTCCACAAACCAATGGGTGACGTCATGACCACGACGTCCACTTCTTATATAGTCTATGTAAACCCACTTGCAGCTGATGGACGGACTTCCTTCGGCCTTTCAGCAGCTTGTTAACCTGCGTCTGAACCTGCTGAGGAGAAATAACCTTAATTTAAATCTCCTTAAGACACAATGACGTCGTCACAGCTCTGAATCTCTGCTGATTCTGAGCATAATGTGAGTACACAGTCCTTTAAGCCGTGTGACGCTGTAATTTCTCCCAAGTAAACACACGGATTAGTGGAGCAGAAGGAGCGTCAACCAGCCAGCTGCACGATGCAAATGTTGCGTTTGGAGATCAGAGAGTGAGATGAAACAGAATCCAGAGGCTTTTTATTAAGTGCAGCTCGCCCTCTGCATCGATTTCACCGACTGAAGTGTCTCTGGAGGGGAGCGATTCCTCCACTGCTCCGTCAGTTCCTCCGCTTTGGGTTTTAACGTGCACTCAGAGACGAGCAGGAGAAGGATCGGATTAAACCGCTGCATTGTCCACATGTGAAGCAGTGAGAGGATGCAGCAGCTCCACACCAGAGAGACGAGAGGCTGCGTTCACAGCCGCAGTGTTCACATCCGTTCATCTGACCTCTGCAGTGATGACCTTCATCACATACAACTAATAATAAGGAATAAGAAATAAAAGGACATCAAGGTTTATCCCAAATAAAAGAGTAGAAAACAATGAATAAAACCACAACGTATCATCTTTAAACAGTTTTTCTACACATTAAGGTTGATTTTGTTACCTGTGCACGGAGGTTAGCTAGCAGTCCCCACCTAAGCTAAGCTAACATAGCTACAGCTTCCTATTGAGCGTACAAACATGAGAGTGCTATCAAACTGAACATCTGACTCTCAGCAAGAAAGAGACGAAGAATTTACCAAAATGTCAAACTATTTGTGAAAGTTAGAGGTTTCTTTAGGGTTTGTTTTCGATTAGAAGTGACCAATATCATATAAAAGAACATCAGTTAAAATAAGGAATTCATTTTTATGAGCCAGCCTTGGGACGATGGAGGATTTAATCACAGAAAGAAAAACCACAATAAGTTGACGGTGGTGGATTTACATTATTGAGATAATCATAAACATTCTCAGGAGTTGCTGAAACAATGATATGTAGTATGTATGTATCACTGCCATGGTCGAGGAAATAGAGCCGGATTCATCACGTGAGAAAGAACTCAAAACGTTGCTACTTTTCATTATGATATATAATAATCTTATTTAAGATTCTTTGTTTTTCCGTGCTCAACATATTTGGTAAGTTAAATTAAGTCCACGACGTTTTAGTGCCATGTTGAGTTTCAAGCATATTTAGTTTATCAGGATAATATCGTGAATATATTGACATTTTCATATCGTCCCATTCCTCGAGAGGAGCGTTGAGTTGTTTTTTTAACTATAAGTAGTAATTATGAAATAATATTTGATATCTTATCAAATAGTTTTTGACCTTTCATATTATTTTACCTCAGTCTTGATCACAGATGTTTTTGTAACACAAAACCAACCGAAGCAAAACCTGAATGAGCCCATTTTCCCGTAGACCTCTATTGTAAAGGAGTCTGTTGTTGGTCTGTTGTTGGTCTCTGCGTTATGAATGCAGAGTCTGGTATGACACGACAAATCGACGGAGCAACCTGAAGCACAAGGAATTGTGGGTAGAAAGACACAGAGTCAGAGTTCATTCTGATTTGAAGCTCATATTCTGCTCGTTATTCATCACAGAAAATTATAAAAATTATGAACGTTTCTGACAAAAATCCTTCAACAAGCTCGCTGTGTGTGAGTCGTTTAAATGTCGTTTGAGAAACATGATTACGTTGTAATTTCTCCTCTTGAGCCCCAAAACAAGAACAAGAACACCCCCCACCCCCCCACCTTTCTAATCGGTTTCAGCTGAACTCTGTTCTCCTCTCGGTGAGCTGAGCAGGAAAATGTTTCTCAGGAAGTTCAAATGAGGCGTTTGTAGAATGTGTGATCAGGACTCCACTAGTGGAGGTGTCGTGTGGGTGATTATCCTCGTTGTGCTCTGAAGTAACGGACGCTGAGCCAACAGCAGCCGGAATTATCCTCTGATGACAAACATCGTCACTGGAATCTAAAGATCGTGCAGGTTGGACTAAAAGAGAGACGAAGACCAACGAATCCATTCTTCCGTTGAAGAAAACTAGAACACAATCTTTAAATTCATCAGTTTCTGTCATATTACACAGTTACATGTAACTAAATACATTTGATGTATAGTATATACTTATTATGTATATGAATGATATACCTTTATTCATATCATCTATTGTCCATACACCAGTTTTTCATCTATTCTTCACATACACACACATCTCTATACTGAATATCAATTCATTTATATAAACTATGGTATTACTATGTGTTTAATGTTGTACATAGCTCTAATGGTACCAGCATAACCTGTCTAACTAGTCGAACTAGTCTAACCAGTGTAAGCGGTCTAGCCGGTCTAACCAGTATAAGCGGTCTAGCCGGTCTAACCGGTATAACCGGTCTAACTGAGCAGCAGCTGGTCGTCCTCTCACGTCGTGTGTTTGTCCTTCAGAAACCACCGGTCTGGACCACGGAGACGGTTTCTACGCCGGGATGCCGATCCCCTGCGCCGACAGCTACGCCGGCTTCTGTGTTCACGGGAAATGTGAGATCAAGTACAGCACGGCCACCTGCAGGTACCTCCACTACTACTCTTATATATTTATAAAAAAGTTAAGAAGTACATTTAGTCGAGAGCTGTCCTGGAGGTACTTTACTGTAGTAGTTTCATGTATACGTTCTACTTCTCAACTACATCTCAGAGGTACATAGTGTACTTTATACTGTACTACATCTCAGAGGTACATGTTGTACTTTAT